CGCAAGTCTCGCATCGGTCACCAGGTCTATCATCGGCTGATCGAACGCGTGGGAAAGTTCGACTGGGGGTCGACTGACGAGGCTGAGTCATGTGTGAGCCCGCAACGGTAGGGGGGGCGTCCTTCTTGAGCCGCTTGCTACGTCGGCCGTTTGCTTCATCCACATCGTCGTTTGCACTGCTCTCCGGGTCCTGGGAAAAGGTTCGCTTCAGCTGGTTGAAATGCTGCCCATTGGCTAGCGGGGTCAGGCCGGCTCCGGGCGGTCTGAAGTCCGGGGTGTTGTCAGCTGAGAGCATGGGACTGCCAGCATTGCGCAAAGGTGTCGACGTGCGCGATTCCAGCACATCTCGATGTATCGCACTCGGCGGATTCGCCGCAGTAAAAGTACTAGGTGTGGATGGTTGTGTAGACGGCTTTTGTGCTGAGTGCGCGTTGACCGCTGTGAAGCCTCCCGAGTTCACCGGCGTGAAGCCCCCCTGCATGGCAGGTCGTGAGAGCTCTGGTGGTGGAGTTGGCACAGAGTCACTCTGCAGTGTTGCGTTCAGCGCTGCTGAGGCTCGCATAGCCGGTGACTCGGCAGCGTTGGCGACAGGCGTGCCCTGCAGCGATTTCTTTATCGGCGAATGGGCTGGTGACGGCGTGAAGGGTCCGCCATGCTCGTACTCCAGCATCTGCTGCACACCAGGTTTGACGAGTCGCAGATATTCCTCGTATGGGTGTAGCCATTTCTGATACGAGTTTTTGAGCGATGTCGACAGTGAAGACATTATCTTGCCGCTGTAGCCAAGGTCGCGTCCGATTTCAGCCCATTTCTTCTGCTTGCAAACACGTTCGAATCCACCTCTCTTCTCAACGGCCTTCTTGAGCTTATAGAGATCCAAGGGGCGTTTGTCCACGCTCGGAAATCGAGTGAGGCTGTGGCCATGCTGCTTGTGGAACTTGGCGAGCTGATCGAGATAGTTCAAGTTGGCACGCGTGCCACCTTCAACCGAGTTGAGTTCCTGTCGCCGCGTGCGGAAGTGGAAGCGCTCAGTATCGATAGCGAATGATGGCTTCCAGCTGTCTGGTGGGACAATCTTGACGATGCCGTACTTTTGCCCTTCTTCGCGAATGCTTTGGATGTATGCCACCGGGTCCTTGAACTGCTCGGCTGTCGGTCGATATGTGGGAGATTCGCGCAGGCCAAAAAGACGGTTCTGTTTGGGTGGCAGGTGGTTTGGCGCTCCATGTCCTCTGCGCTCCACGGTAGCGAGATCCAGCGGCGCTGCCTTGCGCGCGCTCAGAGGAATCGTGCTGGCCGCACTCGGCTGCGCACCATTCGTTGCAGGCACCGCAGCACCACCCATTCTAGATTTTGATGCGCCAGCTGTTGCGTCGGGTGTTCCACTGTCCGTGGCAACTCGAAAGGTAGTCATAGTGGCGCCCGTTGGGGGCCCGCCGGGGGGCATGAAATCGACCATAGTCTTCTTGCTCATGCATCAAGCGCTGTCGCTGCGTGCAGCCCTAATTGCAGCCTCGTAACGAGATACGAGATGGTACGGAAGGTATAGCGATTGTCGTCGGGCGTGATTCGGTCGGTGGTGGGCGCTATCGAAGAGATATAGGCGTAGGCATGGGGCCTCTACAGCGGCAGGCGACCGCTTTCGGCCGCTTGGACTGTGCAATTCACTCGTAACAGAGGCAAATGCCAGTGCGACTAGAGAGTTGTCTGTTAGCGACCGTCGTGGTTGTGGCAGCACGTGCACAGCGAGGTTGGCGAGGCGAGGTGGAGGAGATATGGAGAGGATGGATGGGTCCGCTGAAGGGTGCGAGATTCCCGCTAACGGCGGATGCATATCACGCCCGCCCAACCTGGTACCGAACCCAGAACGTCGAAAGCTTGGTGCAGCAGGGCACGGCTAATATTATGCACGACGCTTCGACTCTGTGCGTCACATCGATGGAGACATATAGAGCATTTCAAGTCAATACATTCGTCGCATTGATGCGGCATCGAGATGCCACCTTGGACTGCAGTCGGGTGGTGAAGTCTGAGAGCTACGTCGTGCCGATCTGGCGACTGCACGCAAGGCTGCCGACCTCACCTCCTCGGCCTTTCTTTTGCGCCGCATTCTACCATGATGACGACCAGCGAACTACATTGGCTCCCAGAACAAGCACATATTGATCTGACTCAGATGCTCTCCATTGCGACTTACTTCTTCTTACTTTCCACTGTGAACACATGCACGGCCATCTTCGCCACTTGTTTGCATCACCATACCGGATCTCGAAACAACAAGCGTAACAGTAGCAGCATTGCGCATTCCTATCATATACTGTCGCGGTCTTTCTATCTCTGAGTTAAATTCACCTCGACGCCTGAACTGCTGCAGGTGAGGTCGGTAGCAAGGTTGTCTCGTCGGGAAGCACCCCAGCCCACCAATCACGACACACTTCATCTGCACCATCCCGTCAGCCCTAACTGGCCGCTGCACGCTTTTGGATGCGATCAACAAGGACATCACGACTTCATCTCTGTCATGAACTCAATCATGGCCGACTCTGTCAAAATCGAAAGCCGGCCCATCCCAGCCTTCTACTGTTGTTACCTGCTCCGCTCCAAAAACCGAAAAGCCTTCTACATCGGCAGCACCCCCAATCCGGCGCGTCGTCTAGGCCAGCACAATGGCTCAAGCAAGGGCGGCGCGAAGCGTACATCAATGCAGGGGAAGCGGCCGTGGGAGATGACGTGCATCGTTACTGGCTTCCCCTCCAGAGCCGCCGCGTTGCAGTTCGAATGGGCGTGGCAAAACACGCACGCCACCCGACACATAGAGCGTGAGGTGCGCGACGCGAGGCTGGAGGAGCTTCAAAAAGGCAGAAAGAACCCATCACCAGTCAAAAGACCGCGACCACCAATGTCACTGGAGGCGCGGCTGAAGAATCTGCATCATCTGTTAGGTGTCGGGAGTTTCAGCCGATGGCCGCTGAATATCCGTTTCTTCGCCCAGGACGTATTCGCGCAATGGGAGAAGCACATTTCTAAAATGAAGACGAAGCTGCGAAAGGACATAACCATCAGAGTGACGCCGGCTGAGCTGCCCAGACTTGCACCGGATGTGCAGAGCGAGATGCGCACGCACTTCATTCCAGAAATAATACGTGCGATCCCCGTGGCGTATGAGGATTGCAAGGCACATGTCGAGAAGTCGAAGAACATTCTAGGAGATGGCCAACAACGAGCCTGTGGTGTTTGCAGATCAGGCATGAGTGCTGAGAAATCGCTTGTGCTGGTCTGCCCGGTAGAAACGTGCCGCGCAGTATCGCATATGGCTTGCATGTCACAAAAGTTCCTCGCAGAGGAAAGCAATGCAGATGCGCTCATTCCAATCCAAGGGTCATGTCCGAGCTGCCAAACTTCGCTAAGATGGTTAGACCTGATGAAAGAGCTCAGTCTACGCATGTATGGCGAAGAAGAGCTGAAACTAATGTTCAAAACAAAGCGGAAGAAGAAGTCGGATGGAACAGTCGAAGAGGGTGCGGAGGAGTTTCCAGACATTGATGAACTCGAGGTTGACATGGACGAAGATCTCGATGAGACATGGGGGGAGAATGTGAACGACGACGAGGACAAGTGATCGTGTTTCAATCCTTGACGAGAACATCTACCACCCTTCCACCGTTCCTAGCGGAAGCTGGCCTTTCGCAACCCGCTCAATACACCTATCAACCTCCTGTCTAATCTTCGCCGCCACATCCGTCATACTCTCGCCCGCATCGATGCGCACAAAGTCCTCGCCCTCCTTCTTCTGCATCATGGTCTCAAACAGCTCGCGCACACGATCCTGTATCTCCTTTTTCTCGTACTTCTCGGTGCCATAGCCGCCTCGTTTCGCAGCGTCGTCGGCAGAGATGTCGAGGAAGAGACACAAGTCAGGACGTGGAAGTCCGACTTCGGGTTTCCGGCACCACTCGAGGCTCATGCTGGGGTTTTGCTTGGCAGCGGAGTATACGCAGCCGCTGTAGTAGTAGCGGTCTACGATTATCGTTGTGCCGGCTGCGAGATCGGCTTGGATAGATGGTCTGGAATTTACGTTTAGACTTGAAGTTGAGGCGTAGTTGAAGATGTTTGACTTACACTGCTTCCCAGCGATTTGCAGAAAACAGAAGGTGTATGACATGGTCGTCTTGATCGCTCTGGCCACTCAAATAGCTATTGATCATTTGACCAATCGGTGTCGTCCTATCTATATACTACATCAGCGTTCAGCCCCATACGATGAAACGTGCATTAACGCGTCAGCGTATGGCTCTCCGTCTACGTGCACATACCAGGGAAGCGCATATGCCGCACCTTGATCCCATCGTTTTGCAGATCTTCAACCAGCATCTGACATTGTGTTGATTTGCCTGCGCGATCTAGGCCTTCGAAAACTATGAGTTTGCCTCGCGCCATGTTGTGGGGTTTGTGATACAAGAGGTTGTTGCTACCCTGCAACGATTGAAGCGCGACCGAAGCGAGGCGTTGGTGGGGCCATCGCCACTCCGGCGCTATCTATGGATGGGCCGACCTTGACCACCTTACCATCGCGCTTCCACCATCCGTGTCTCTCGACAACACCTTGCTAAGATGACAGGGCATTAATTGGTTACAAAGGCGCTGACCGGTTTTCGAGCTGCATCTACAGACGCGTGTCAGCGAAAGAGCATGCGCAGCCACTGGTCAAAATTGGCCAGCCACTCTACCTCTATAGGTACTGAGATGATAGAAAAGTATGCTGTGTTACTCTACCTCGAAGCGAGAGGCGTATATCACAGGTAGAATGACACGTGGGTCAGCTCATGCATATGGGTGCATTGGTAAGAGGAGGCCTCAGCTGAGGGGAAATGCACGAGGCTGAAGGTAAAATCCCTTTTGTGTCCGTTCATCTTCCCCTCTTTCTCAGAAGCGATTCAGAATACATACTCATCTATCTCAAAAGACCAATACTACGATACCCGGCAATTACCATGACAGAAATGGACGACGTCATCGCGAGACTCTCAAGGCTTGGTGTAATCACCTCAACCGATGAGGCACCTGGTTCTGTACTGAGTAAGGCGCCTGAAAGCAAATTCGCGGATGATACGTCTCTCGATAAGCCCAGCAATGATGATCGCGCATGTGATATCACCAGTCTCACATCCTCCAAAGTTGCTCAGCTTTCGCGAATCGATTCTCACGAGGAAACGGCAGAAGATATCGATTCTCTCAAGTCACAACTTGCACAGGTACAAGAAGAGTTGCGGCAAATCAAGAACAAACGACTGCAAGGTCTTAAGAAAGGAGGCGTACTCGCAAACAAACTCAAACAATGCGAGGACGAATTAAAGCAGACCCAGCTGGCAAACATATACCTCGAGCGGCGGGATAGCGAACGGGCGATGGAGTTAGACGGAAGATTCTCTACAGCCCCTGACAACATACACATCGAGAAGTTTCCTGGGAAAGGCAACGATCTATCAATGAAGGTCGTCTTATCTAGGACGTTTACGTTTACGGAAAGATACAAGTCCGCATATGAGATGGTTCGGGACAATGCCGCTATTGGTTGCTTGAGACTGAATGGGCGCTTGTACATCGCTAAATCTGGAAAGACGCGAGAAGACTTTGGCGACTTCATCAATAGTGATCATTGGACGTCCGAAGCCGAATTCCTTGGCGAGATGGTCGAGTCTCCACTGGATAGAGGATATGCGACTCATGTAGAGCCGCAGTTGATGGCCTTTTACATCACCCGCACCCTTTCGGAGTCAGGACACTTTCTAGGAGACTTCGTCAACACGTCAATAGTTCCCGTCAAGGAGAGTCGCACAGAACTCAAGGATATCATCATCAGCGTTAGCGAGCCGATATGCGAAAGCTGCACGACGCTTACAACTAAAGTCAACGGATATGCTGAACATCATGGATACCGTTTTACGCTGAATAACAGAAGAAAGTATACCACCGACGGAAATAAACAGCGTTCTTGGGATCCACAGCCTGTTCGTTTTGCGGACCGATGAACGCGCTCAGGCTACGATGCTGCATGTGTCATGGATCGAGATCTGTTTGGGCGATCTACTACGGTCCGCATCAAGCGATTGTCGTCGGGAGTTGACTTGGACGTACAGGTCTCTCGTACCGATACTTCTTTTTCCCCATGCAGAATCTCAAAAGCAAACTCAAGTAATCATAGATTCAATGACAAAAGTGCTGGTAATTTGCTAGGCGCACCAACTGCAAAGAGGTCATGAGCGACCATTCGTATACGACTCATCTGCGCGGTTAAGTGAGCTCAGATCGACATGAAATGTGCTTTCTGGGCTAGACAGTACAACAGCGAATGCAAACATGAAAACACTCAAGCTAAACCCTATTACGATAGCAAATGAGTTCTAGGTGGCAGTGAACACCTGCTTCGGCTCTGCGAGATCCAGATTGTTCGGGAATGACAATGGCACACACCACACCTCACCTGAATCATAGCGACTTTGAGTGCAAACTGTCAGCAAACAATCGCGCTCGTCGCCATATAATCAAGCCTATTCTTGGTCCTGGTAACGTGTATTATCGTCTTCACAGCGATGTCTACAGCAGTTATCGCAACCTGCCCTACTCCGCTCGAGGAGTTGAAGAGACCATGGTCCGCGACTGCATTGACAGGAACTCAAGAACAGCGTCGATCAGATGTGGCCAGTGCGAAGATACTGTGGTCCCAAGTTTTGGTGGAGTTTCGGCAAAAGCAAGGAATGGCCGTCAAGAATTACAATCTCAGAAGGAAGAGGCAGCCGTTCTTCCAGTTCTTAGATCTACCCGGTGAACTTCGCAACATGATATACGACATCTGCCTGGACAACGAGAAGACGACAAGAAACCCTGATATGACGAAGAGAACGCGGGTTAATCGGGGATCAATGGGAAGCAAGACTTTCTTGGACCACAACATACGGCAAAAGCGCGTAAAGGATATCCGCGCACGAAAGCCCACCAGAGAACATAGAGTGCGAGATGCCACCCGAAAAGTTGCGCTCGAAAAGATTGTAGAGAGACGGGTCAAGCTCGCAACTCGTTCGAGGGACGGACTTACAGCTGGCGCCCACGAAGCCTTCTACTTGTACAAACTGGAGCACGACATGTATACTTTGCCATCAAAGAGGGTCACAGATGGCCAAAACAACCACGACCAAGGTATATTCAGGTCAGGCAACAGAACGACGAAGAAAGGTGTCCTAGAGATCGATGTCAGAGGCAACCTAGTCGACGACCTTCCAATGCTCTCCTATGTCGATCGTGCAATCTTCTCCGAAACCCTGTTCCTCTACTACTCCACGGTGAGAGAAGGTCTGTGGATCAAATGGACAGTCCGGAACCTGGACTTCTTCCCTTTCCTGCGATTCTACCAGGCATTCACCAGGGGTGAAAATGCGGTCGAGATTCCACCTTCGAGACTGCACATTGAGTTCGACAAGGAGAAAGAGGAGACTGATGATGGCCTACATGCGAAGAAATTTGTCCATGTAAAGAGGCTGGTTGAGCTGCACTGGCTGGACGGCTTCCCGCTCTGGGGCTGCTTGACAGGCCTGTCTGATCGTCAAGATTGCAAGGGACCGTTCGGAGACTACATGTACTCTGTCCGTCAGGTTGTGGCGCTGTACCGTATTGACCACGAAGCTTGGAAGTCGCTGTCTGTTGGGTACCTTCGCCGTTGTGAGGAAATGGGTTATGACGACGCTTTGGAGAGTAACTTCGCAACACTCTCAGACGCCGAGCTTGTTGAAGCAGTCATCGATATGCTATGCAAAGCGATTGAGTACCACCTCGGATACACAGGCAGCTATGCACGTATTGGTCGCGATCAGACTGAGTGGGATCAAGACATCTTCGAAACTTTCAGGTATAAGGGATCGCATGTCAAGACGGCTTATGAGAAGGAGCATGCGATTGTTCGTGTTGTCAGCCTGTATCGGAAGAAGGTCGACAGGACACTGCGGGATCGGCTGGGGGAGGTGTACGAGGATTGGGAGAATGTTCCAGATGACGCGCTCATTCCTGAAGGGGTGATGTTGTGATAGTATAGATAGATCGTAATATCTCTGATTACCTAGGTATGGCACATTGTTGGCGCCTTCATGTTTGAGATCGCCGCGCAAAAACCGATGCCTGCTCAGCTTCATCAAGCAAACGGGACACGGAATGTCGGGGTTAACAAAGACCGGTTCCTCACATGTCTAGAACTGTAGTGCTGACATCGCGACACATCCGAAAAGTCCCCTTTGGTGTGTGATGAATCTCTCCGAGTCTGTGCCTGGCGAATCAGCGTTGGTGCTCCGGAGATCGGCCGAGCAACACGTGACTGAGAATTGTCAGCGCACCGTTGACCTACAACTTTGGCCGATGCAGGGCGTAAATTTTGACAACCCAAATTGCGGATGCCTAAATTCCGATCCGACATAAATCGCGACGTTTACAAAGCGCAATGGAGTTCACAACCCACAGCCTCCACTATCTGAGCTGCAAGTCGCCGAATCAGAGTCAGCGGAGCTTGCTACTCTTACTACCTAGGTCCTTGCCGGATACGTCGATCACCGAGTGACCGAAGATATTCGGAATATAAGAACAGTTGAAGACCTCCGATTCCTTCAAACGAGCTTTCATTACACCTTCCAACACAAAATGTCATCACCGAAGCTTATCGTCCACCACCTCCAAATCGGCCAAGGGGAGCGCATCCCATGGCTCCTCGAGGAGCTCAACATTCCTTACGAGTTGAAGCTGTACAAACGCTCGCCCCTTCTGTCACCACCCGAACTTCAGGCGGTCTACCCTATGGGTGCTTCACCCGTCCTTGAAGACCTTACCGATCCGTCCAACCCAGTTAAGATTGCTGAATCTGGCGCCATCACCGATTACATCATCCACAAGTATGGTAACGGACGGTTGGCCCTAAAGCCGCAAGACAAGAACTTCGCAGACTACCTCTACTGGCTTCATTTCGCGAATGGCTCGTTGCAGTCTGGACTGTTCAGAAGGGGCATGTCGCGCGGCATGGTTGGCGAAGACGACCCTCGTTACAAGGGCCAAGTCGCACGTTGTGATAAGATGCTGAGCCATATCGAAAACCGTCTTCAAAACAACAAATGGCTTGCAGGCGAGGAGTTCACCGCTGCCGAGACCATGACGGGGTGGTGCTTCACAACGATGCGCAAGTTTGAGCCAATGGACTTGACCGACTACCCGGGCATTTTGGCATGGCTGGGTCGCATTGGTGAGCGCGAAGCTTACAGACGCGCGATGGGTAAAGCCGATCCTGATCTCGACATTGAGCAGGGGATCAGCGCAAAGGGTCCTCCGATGATGGAGGCATTCGTGAAGGCTATGGCGATGAAGCCGGGGTCCCTATGATGGTTGGGGAGCTGCGCGGCTGATCACCATAGGGGTCGACAAAAGCTGTAAATAATGATGGAAAAAAAAGAATATTAGCTCCGCTCAAGAAAGAAAAACTTTTCTCATGGATTCCCTGGTTCAATGCACCTTCTGTCGATGAGGGTGATGCTTGACATGTCGCTGCGTGCCTGCGTGACGAAGATAGCCCGGGATGGTCGGCCGCGTCCTTCCGGGTCCACTTTGACGCGAGTAGTCAGGTACAACAACACGCCATGCCTCCGACCTCATCATGGCCACCTGATCCATCACACCACTCTGCCGCTGCAGGTACGCGTCGCATCATCACTGGGATGATTTCGAAGGTACCAGAAGTTGGTAGCGTAGCATGAGCGTGACCTGAGAAGATCGTGGTCATGGCGAGCGGGGTTTCCTGCCAACCAGAGCGGTGGTACAATGAGATCACATAAAGCTTGCTGACCCCTCACGAGGGCATCTCCGCATCTGGGTACAGCTACATAGCTTGCTTCGAAGACACTTTCCAGCTAATCATACTGCTCAATTGCACTTTACTTACTTTCAGATTACTCCTACAGCTTCAGCTACAGCTCCTCACGATGGCAGCAAAGTACTCTCGCCGACCCAGCTACCTTGACGGCCCACTGTCTCCTTCCATCATCCCCGAGCTCGCCATTCTACCCCAGCCTCTCCCTGCCGACAAGGTTCCCTGCGGCCAGCTCGTCTCAAAGACGTCAAAGTACACATCCAAAGCCCTCGAAGACCGCGACTACGACGACATTGGCACGCGATGGTACGCGAAAGACTATACAACTAATTCATGTACTATATATTGACTTCCTCAGGTACAAAGACGTCATCTTCTTCAACGCCGAGAACGGAAACTTCGTCGAGAGTTTCGGCGGCACGCACCTACTACAGAAGCCGCTTGACAAGGGCACAGAGGCTGGCACAATCGAGGCGGACGAGCAGACTGTGAGACTACTCAAGGATGCCGATGCCGCACTCCAGAAAATCTGGCAAGATGAGGAGGCCAGGAAGTGGATCAAGGAACAAGACGAAGCCGGGTTCGTCGTCGCCCATCGCCAGGTCTCCAACGCGAGCTACAAACGCGCCAGGCTCGTCGACATCGGCAACAACAATTGGGAAGTTGTGCGCGAGGTTGGCAATGAAGACGCTACTGGTAAGCGCAGAGACTCGGGCCTGCCTGTAGAGACGAACAGCAAATGGGACGTGGTAGGAGTTGTGGTCAAGAAGATTATCGTTGAGGGCGATGATGTGAAGCTCGGTGATGAGCTCGGAGCTCAGTACTGGCAGTAGCAGTATAGCTGAACAACCTCATAGCACACATTCAGTTCTTACAAGTTAGCAACTTGTCGAGCATGCATCTGTGTTCCATGTGATTGAACATACACGAAATGCCATTTCGGTAAATTCTGCGATGTTTGCTTGCGGGTACTCTGATTGGTCACTTTCAAGACATGCGGCCGTTGGACCTTCCATGACGACACAGGAATGCAGGCATATTGCTGACATATAGCATTGTTCTTGCTGTGAAAGCAACGTATGATAAGCGCATGTTGTTCAGCACGGGAATCATGACATGACGTGCATGTCTTCATTGAGCATCAATCGTAGGTGTAAGCAAACCAACGATGGGTTGCGATGCCTTCATATCATGTACATGGGAAGTATATAAGCCTGTCCATCTACCTGTATATGCATCCACACACAACTGGCACCATATACCATAGTTGACATTCCTCTTATACCTAGCTTCCAAAGCTAACACGAACATGACGCCGTCATCGAGCGACCCAACTGTTCTTAATAGCACATTTCACTTCGAATCCTCAACACATACCTTCGATATCAAATGGACGTCGCTGGGCGCTACAACATCACAACCACTCATCTTTATACATGGCACTCCTTGGTCTTCCCGCGTCTGGGCACCCTTCGCACTGGCTCTATCACGCAAATACCGTGTCTACCTCTTCGATAGCCCTGGCTTCGGAGATTCACCTATCGAACAGATTCTTCCTGATGTCCACTTTAGCCCCAAGAACGAAGTGGAGAGACTAGACAGCAATCTCGCTCGTCAAACCTCAGCCTCCGCCGCCCTCTTCAAGCACTGGGAGACAACCGAGGGATGGAAAGCAGCTCCACAAGTCGTCGCTCACGACCACGGCGGACTAATGAGCCTACGTGCCAACTTACTACACGGCTGCCGCTACTCCAGTCTCAGCTTGATCGACGTCGTCGCCATCGGCCCCTTCGGCCAACCCCTCTTCAAAAGCGTGGCAGAGAACCCCACGGCATTCGAAAACCTACCTGACATGGCCTTTGAAGGTATCCTCGACTCATACATCCGCAACGCTGCACACACTACATTAGACGCTGAGACGCTGAGTACGCTTAAGGCGCCGTGGCTTGCAGAAGATGGGAAGAGAGGCTTCGTCCGCCAGTTGTGTCAGGCTGCGCATCGGAGTACGGAGGAGATTGAGGGGCGGTATGCGGAGGTGGGTCAAAGTTTTCCTGTAAAGATCATTTGGGGAAAGCAAGATAACTGGATTCCTGTGGAGGATGCGCATAGGCTGGGGGAGGCGCTAGGTGCCAAAGAAGTGGTGGAGATTAAGGCGGCGGGCCATCTTGCCATGTACGATCAGCCGGGTCAGTTGGGTGTTGAGCTGGGTATGTGGTTAGCCTCCTTGGGCGTGTAATTACTATTTACATTATGACGAATCCGAAATTCTCTCAGGATATAGCAGCGTTTCAGTGTCATGTTTCCGGGAATTCGTCGCATATTACTACATTCTCCTCACGACTCCTGCGAGGTAGTCTGAGGTGTCCATGCGCTCTTCCTACGACGCACTTCAATCGTTACTGGCAGAGGGACCTTGTATCTGATGACCCACATCTTCTTGGGCTTCTCCGCAAGTGGCTTAAAGTCGTAGTTTAGTAGCAAGTTGGCGAAGATAATCTTGAGTTCATGGGAGACGAAGAAGCGTCCAGGGCTGCATCATTGTTAGTACAAATCTTAACGTGAGATTTGAGAGTACCCACCAAGCATGCCTTCCATGGCCGAAAGGAAGATGATTAACACCTGTAGTGACAAGGCCCGTCTGCTTCAGCTTCAGCGCATCGACGTTTTGTTTCTCCTCCGCGCTCATCGCCTCGTATTCTTCTCTCGGACGCGAGTATCGGAACGCGTCGAACTCTTCTGGGTTCTCGGTCATGTCTGTATCGAGAGCCATCGCCCCCCATGGACATGAAAAAAGCGTTCCGTACTTCAGATGCACACCCTCCGGTGTTGTGACACCCTCCTTCGCTACAACCTTGCGGTGTACGAACGTAAGGCCGATAGGCGAGGCACGCTGTGATTCGCGAATAGCGGAATCGATGCGGTACATACGGCTAAGAGCATTCTTTGTCCAGCTTCCCTCCTCTTGGAAAATGCGATGCGCCTCTTCGCGCAACTGTTCGACGACTTCTGGTTCACAGCCTAGTATGCAAACAATGGTTTCAAAGGCGGTAATCGACGTCGTGTGTATGCTAGCGAAGTTGAGTGGCAAGACGCGCTTAGCGATGCGGTCGGGTTGCATCTCCTCGGGTCGTCCCTCGGCCTGCGCAACTCGGTAGCTCCATGTGATGAAGTCATTCGGCTCCTTCCAACTCTTGTACTCAGGATCTCCGGCATCTTTCTTCTCGAAATCCGAGATACGTTGCTTGATCATAGGTATTGTGAACTTCGAAGACTGCCAGTAGTGGTACTTGACAGGCAGACTTAACATCGTACCGACGATAGGGTGCAGCGCTTTTGGGACAAGAAACATGAGAGCTTGATTGCGAATGACGTCTTTGGTGTAGCTCAGTACCGCTTCTAGGAATTTCGGTTCGTGACATAGCGACTCTCCAAGAAGCATGCGGTTGGTCAATACTGGAATCATCTCCATGAAAGACTCCAGGACGTCCAACTTTTTCCAGTTTTCTGTATCCGTTCCGTAAACGTCGGCAATCGTTCGTGGCACCTCTTCTTCAAGACCCGGTATGATCGCATTGAGATTTCGAAAAAGGCTCTTGTGAAGGACATGTTCATGGTAGGCATCTTTCAGGATGTAAGGGTTGATGAACGAATAATCGCCCTGCAGAGAATCGTAATGCGCTTGATGCGCACTCAGTACGGAATCTGGTTGATCAAACATCCAGCGCATTTGACTTTGAGGCATGACAATCTCAGCCTGCATGCCAAGCGTCGCGGGTAACACAAAGATCTTGCCGTCGCGGCTGTATTTGTTGTAACCAGCCAACAGCCATTCTTTGCTCTTCGTCAATGCGGTAAAGTTGCGAAAGTCGGCGATCCAGCCTTTGCCGTAGCCCATCCATGGTATGTTCGATGGTGGTGATGGCGCTGTGAGCAAGTGGTAAGCACTTGCGACGATCAGGTAGGTGATTGCTGCAGCGGCGAAATGTGAAAAGGTAAAAAGGCCGTGAGGCTCAGCCTCTTGGCTTGAGTCTGCCATAGTAGGTATGATCGAAGCAGAAGCAAGGGGCGATGAACGGCATCCCATGTCAACACAGGGGCCGTCATATACTATTTGTGATGATCGACCCGGGAAAGCGCCGTCGCTTGGAGAAGATGCCCCGCTTCCGTGCGCGCGGCCATTCGCGCACGCTATGTCGCACGACACGACTTGCATGCCCACATCCGTCAACTTTATTACCGACCTGCCATACCTGGCTGCTTATCACAATGTGCACCTTGCTTACTGTGTCAGTTGCAGCTGGAGATATTGCCGGGTAAATTAAGGTTCATTCGCTGCAGAGCTCTGACAATTACAGATCCGCGGCGCTACCTTCGGATACGCTACTCCCGAGCTCATGAGCGGAGCAGTCATAGACGGTCACGGCTTTCATCAATCAATGGTTTCGGCAAGACTGCTTATCACATGCCATCCAAGCCAAAAGCTCTGGACCACTATCTAGGTTACATGCCTCTGTTCGTTGCATGCATCTCAGTATAGTATGTTTCATATACCTTCGCTACGTTCAAGTCATGCGATTTCACTAGTTAGGTTTTACTGTGGCGGTTGTCTGGAAGCACGAGAGGCTCAACAGCTCAGTGATGTTAATGAAGTTTTCAGCAGACGGGGTCGTACCTTTCGTAGCAGGTGAGCTATCCTTCAAAGCTGACTCCCTGCCGAGGGGTTGAGTATGACCCGCTATGTCCAGCTTCTCGGTGGGTCGATCAATTGCAAGCACAGAGCGACTGCTAACGCCAGGCTCGCTTGGGTCTTCCGCGTCCATAGTGTTCTTGAGCACTTAGTCTATTAATGCTCGTAGCGTGATGCTGTAAGTATGCTTTGGAGGTCAAGCCAGAGAAGAGCAGAAGCTGATTCATACCGCGATGTTATATTCCATACACTCAAAGTTCTTTGCTCTATGCCCAACGTCTACCAAGAACACAGCGCGTATTCGAAATCTGAATGGTTGCAATGAAGCTAGTAGTATTGACAATACTGTGGTGTTTTATGTTGTTTGCTTACGATGTTTTCATTTGGCTCTAGACAGGAAAGTACTCCCCGAGACACTAGCTTCTGATGTCTTGCATCTGCTAGTCAGATGTAGCATGTACTGGTGCTAAACATCGAGTCCGTGCGTAGACCGCTGACAGCACCTAGAACTGCGAACACAGCCAAGTTCCTCTTGCGATACTGGATAGCACGTTTAAGGCTGCTTCCTTTTCCAGAAAAAACCAAAGATGCCACGAGAACTTGTCGATTTCCTTAGGTACCAAAGCTCATAGGCTCCCATATATCCAAGACCCTTGACCCTCTCAGAGTAAGAAGTACTCGTGACTGACTTCAGCTGATCTTCCCAGATGAATCTAATTTCATCGACATTGCTGCCGGGAGCGTGGGGTGACTCGGTATCGTTGTCGAGGCAGAGCTTCATGTCTCTCGTCGCCATCTCTGATAAATGATCTTCAAATCGAAAAGAATTGAGAACGCGTTCTCTATGAGCAGACGGAGTGATGTCCCCCCAGCCGTCTTTATCGTCGTAGAATATAAACGTGAGACTAGCGATATACAAGCAAGGCAAGAGCGCAAAAGCGGCTGGAAACCTGACAAACATATCCGGTTTATCCAGAATTGACGTCGGGATTCCGATCTCGACATGTGTGATCTGATCGACCTGAATAGGGATATTGATGCGGAGCGGCGCGCCATAGGTCTTGTTCCAGGTACTCATTACGTCTCTGAGGAAGTGTTGCATGTTTCGGACAATCTCGATTTCGGCTTCAGCCTTGAGCTTTTTGCAAGAGAGGACAAGAGATTGGTAGTCTGCGATATGGCCGTTGAGCGGAGGCGACATCTCGGCGTATATTCTGAGGCGTAGCTCGGCTGGTAGGCCTAGCAATGAAGCGGCCTTTACGTCGTTCGTGTTGGTGTGAGGCACATTGCGACCGTGAAAAGGGGCATCCGTGACAGCCACTGAGGACACACTATGGGTTGACGTTATGTGGTGGAATAGTAACATTATCTGCGCTGTTATACCGATGTTCTCTTTAGGGGAATCTGTGGTAGTGTTTATGGCTAGCTAGCTGTGTAGCAGCCTAGGGCAGAACCCAGGCACTACGCACTACGCCGGACTTTCACTGGTTTCGCATTGAACAACAGGCGGGAAACGACCTCGTCCCTAGGTAGCGAAGGCAAAAGAAGTTTTACATTAGCAGAAGGCGAAATGGGTCAACAGTGAGGCAATACGTGCGGTCAGCAATTACGTTCTGCTTCTGATGTATTGACTTGACTTTTTGGTATCTGCACTCCCGGTAATGTATGGGCTGTGGGATCTCGCGATCGCCGACACTACCGCATCTTAGTAGTCCTCGAGTATGAGGTCATTTGCTGTCGGTCGTAATGTGCAACAAATTTGTGATTGAATGAGAATGGAAATCCATTCGACAGACCCGGAGTGATGCGGATGCCCCAGCTGTTGGCGGGCGCGCGTTCTCGACGGACTAGACCTCGGGAGTTGTGACGTCACACACAGCACGTGCCAGCAAGGCAGGACGCAGGCTATCTAACTAAGGGCGCGCTAAGACATAGCATGCTAAGGCATCTATACGTAGTTAATGTACACGCTAAAGTAGCGCCTTAGTAGATTAATTATAGATTATTCTAGAAATAATCTTACTTAAATAATAATAATATAACTCTACTAAACTTCTTTACTAAACTACGCTACTTATAATAGCTTACTAAATCTAAAGTATACTCTAAAAAAATATATAAACTATTTCTAGATTAATTTATAAATAATTTTAATAAATTTAGCCTACTTATAAGTAATTTCTCTAGCTTAACTAATACTTATTTAGGTACCTACCTTTTTCTACTAATATATAGAGTAAACTTATTATTTATATAAATTAGCTATACTACTATATTAAAATCTAAGGTAGAATTCTTTATAGAGTATAAATTATTTCTAGATTATTTCTTAATTATTTTTAATATTTTTTTTAGTAGAAGTATATAAGTTACACTACGCTTAGAAACTATTTATACTAAGCTTACTAGCTAAGAATAGTATTTACTAGGTAAGTTAGAAATTCTACTAATATCTAGATCTAAGCTAAGATATATAAGTTTATTTAAATTATTTCTTAATTAATTCTTAATTAATTTTATCTAGGTTTCTATATTTAGATTATAGCTACTTATAACGCTATTACTAACCTCTCTACTAACTCTTCTACCTCTTCTACTAACTCTGCGCCTATATAGGCTTCTACCTAGCTAGAATCTAATAATAAGTCTAAGTTAGATTATTTATTAAATAATTTAGACTATAAGTTAGATTAATTAGTAAATAATTTAGACTATAATAATTTTAAGAACTCTACTACTACACTAGATAATAAGAAAGAGAAGAAAGAGTAGAAAGACTAAAAATACTTTCTCTAGAATATTATCTAGGTTAATAATTTAGAGAGAGAATAGGTAAATTATTTCTTAAATGTTTCTAAATTGTTTCTAACTTTTATAGCTTAACTTTACTACTATAACTAATATAGTTAGAGACTACTATAATAATTAGCCTAAAGATAAGCTCTTCTACTAGATATATAATATTAATAGCCTAGATATAGACTATATTTAAGATAAGTTTTATTTAGATTATTTCTAGAATAATTTAAAATTATTTCTAATAAATTTAGATTATACCTTTTTTTAGAATAAAGAGAATAAGTATAAATCTTACTAGTTCTTCTTATACTTTTCTTCTAAGCGTTTACCTACTCTCTCTAAAAGTAGTAGTTCTAGTAGGTAGTTAGGTACTATTTCTAAGTAAATTGTTTCTAGAATAGTTTAGAATTAATTTAGTATAAAAAGATATATAGTATAAATAAAATAAATAAATATTCTATAACTCTCTCTCTACTATATACTTTGTAAATAAGTACTATTATTATATTATTAATAAGAATAATATACTATATCTTACTTAGTAGAATATACTAAGTAAAATATAGTTAATTATAAAGTATTTTTTATTTAAGTTTATAAACTTTACTTAGCTACTACTATTAAAAGGTTTAAGTAATAGTTAAAAACTTATAAGTATATTATACTTTATTAAGATTTATATATAATTATACTATTTTATTAGTAGACTAATAATTCTATAGCTTATAATTAAGTTTTTAAAAAAAAAAGTCTAGTACTAGTATACTAAAGAATATAAAACTAAAGATTTTAGTACTTTAAAAGTAAATAAGCTAAGACTTAAAGCTTTAGTACTATTATTTCTAAAGTAGTTAAAGCTTTAAAATCTCTTAGACTAGCTAAAAAGCTATTTTAATACTAAAGTACTTTATAATAGAATTTAAAATTAATTTTTAAAAAAAATAATAGAATAATAATATATATATATAAGCTTTAAACTATTATAGTAATATATTCTAAAAATTAATAGTTAGAATATATATACTAAGAATTTAGTAGAAGTATACTATTTATACTTTTAAAATTTCTAAAATATTTAGAACTCTAAAGATATTTTAAAAATACTAATTATAGTTTAGAGCTAATACTTAAAGCTATACTATTTAAATATTATTTTTATAAGTTTCTAAAATAACTATAAGTAAATTAAAAATATCTTTTAGTACTATAAAACATACTTTATATATAGAAAGATAGACTATTTAGAAGATAGCTTATAATTAGAGTTAGAAATAGTAGATATAGATATAATAGTTTAAGATCTAGAGCTCTATTAGCCTATATTAGACTAATACCTCTATAATATATATTTATCTCTAATAACTTCTTCTAAAGCTTTCTACTATAATAACTTTATTACTTTTATATATCTTTATTATCTAAACTTTATAAAACTTTTATAATAGAATCTAAGAGTAAAAAGCTTAGCTAGATTTATATAAAAAAAGAAAAAAAAAGTTAATAGAAACTAGTACTAGATAGTACTAGCTTATAGAGTAGCTCTTTTATAA